TAAATATGAATATATGAATATAAATATGAATATATGAATATAAATATGAATATATATGAATATAAATATGAATATAAATATGAATATAAATATCTATGCTGCATATATAAACAGTAAATAAAACTTTTGATTTAGTTATACGTACGGATAACGTAAAATTCTTTATTAAGTTACACGTATTTCAATTTTCGGTTGTACCTCAAATTTAGGATATTTTTTATTGATACACATCTAAAAAAATTTCTACGTATGTATGTATGTATGTATGTATGTATGTATGTATGTATGTATGTATGTATGTATTGGAGTCTATAACTATATTATTAGAATAAAATAATAAAGCCTTTTAATCTACGTATATCTATATATCAAAAAAGTATTTCAAATTCATGTTACAAATAAACATAAAAAAAAAAAAAAAGTTTGTGGTTCAAATGTCTAATTCGCCATTTAATTCAGGAAATGCATAGCTATATTCATTTATGTATTGATTTTCAATTATAAACGGAAAATATCAATGATAAAATTTGATATTTTATCTAGATCAACAAATATTAAATAAGTTATCATAAGTAAGTTCGTATGATAATTTTAGCCAAACATTTTTGTAACCCGATCCATTATTGGATGGCATCATTGGAAGGCTAAATGTTTATTTTCATGACGGGAAAGCCAGTCAGAACATCCCACTAAGTTAATGATCCGCGTTCTATGACCGAGATTCCGTCCATTTAGCGTTAAAATTTGTCTTCAAAACAATATTAAATATATATGCTAAATTCCCTATTTACCTTTTTTTACAATTACAGTAGGCTAATACAGTATAATTGAAAAAAGGTTGAAAAAAAAACAGAACAATGGATAAATTAAAAAAATTTATAAGAAGAACAAATGTTAGTAATAAAGGCAATCATATTGATTCCTCACATTATTATCAACAAGAAACGGAACGACCACCGAATAATACAAGTGGACCATTTACATATACATGGATTGTTAAGAATTTTCAGGATCTCTATAATCAAAAATGCCTTGAATATTATTATAGTGATCCTTTTATCTCTCATTCAACAAGCGAACAAGTCGGTACGAACGAAAATTCAACAGACATTACAGAAAATAACGATAAAATTGAACATAAATGGAGATTATTACTCTATCCTCATGGTCATCGATCTAAAAAAGTAAAGACTCATATTTCTCTCTATCTTTCAGCAATACAAAGTAATTTTGAAAAAGAAAATAACATAAAAACAAGAACTTCAAAGTGGAGGTTTGAAATACTTAAAATGAATCATGAATTTGAAATACCTAAAAACACAAGAAATTCGACAAATTCCACCGTAACAACAGGATTATCAAGGTTAAATTGTTATAGAAACATGTTAGAAAAACAATTTATATTTAATAATGATAGAGAACCAACATGGGGAAGTGTGAAATTTTGTGAATTTGAAACCATATTTCCTAATAATCTTGATTCAAAATATAATTTAATAAGAATGGATAAAGTTGATATAGTAATTCGAGTACATTTTTTTGATGAAAATTATACCGCAACAAATCACGATTTGGAAATACTTAATGTTGATATTTTATTGAAATTTGGACCAAAATTAGAAGAATATTTCGATAACGAAAGATTTAGTGATATTGTATTTAAATTTGATTGTGGATCTCAACTTTATGTATCAAGACTTGTCCTAGCTTCAAGATCAATTTATTTTAAGACAATGTTTAATGGGGAATGGATGGAATCAAAATCCTTAACTATTCATATTAAAGATGTTGAATATAAAATCTTTAGAAATATAATTTACTTTTTATATACAGGAATTCTCGAAGATGGATTGACATTTGATACGTTGGTAAATATTTATGCAGAAGCAGACATGAGAGAAATAGAAGAATTGGCGAAAATCGTTATATTACGTATAGTAGAAATGATAAATAAAGATAATTGGGATGATGTATTACTGCTTGGATGGGCAACGAATAATTATTGGTTAAAAGATCAAGCATTGATGTATATTCATAGTAGGTGGGAAGAATTAAAAGATACTGAAAGAATGAAAAAGGTTCTAATGTGTGGGAATGAAAAATGTATAGAAGAATTGACGAATGATAGATATTTTGGCTTTTTGAATGAATAATAAAGTTTGTAAAAAAAAATTGTATCTATATAGTTTATAAAAATTGTAACTATATAGTTTATAATTAAATCATTGATTATTGGTATAATTTAAAGTTGCAATAAATCAATGATTATTGGTATAACTTTAAGTTGCAATAAATCAATGATTATTGGTATAACTTAAAAGTTGTACGTAAAAGTAACGAATATTCGATTATATACTATATACATGCGTGATGAAAAATTAACAATTAATATTCTAAATATTTTTACGTAGCAACTAAATATTCTAAATATTTTTAGAAACTAAATATTATTAATATTTTTAGCAACTCATCTAGTATTTGCAACAGTGACGAGTAAATAATATTGACTATATATTAATACTTTTATTATCGTTATAGTTTTCGATGCTGTGATGCAATTGGTCTCATAGAACATTCTAAAATTCTGCTTTTTTTTTTTTTTAATTGGTGATATATAATTTGAAATTAAAAAAGTTGTACGTACAGTACGTAGAATTTATCGTTATTAAAACTGTTTATGCATCGGTGCGATTATGTAATTTCGACCGGACTCACCGACCGCAATTACGTAATCTCCATTTCACCAAACGCATACATACCGATAATGTACAGTATATCGATTTTGCACGTATTCACACTTAATTTTTCATGAAATAAATATGTAATTTTTTTGTTTTTGATTTGCCACTATAGTTTTTTAATTAAAATACAGTACTATAAAAATGACATTATTTAACAATAGATTATTGAATTTTTGATGATAATTGATTTTGCCAAATTAGTGATCGTGAAAGTGAATGATGAAAAGTGCATGGTAATTCGTAACAAAATACGAAATCAATAAATGTAAAAAAAAGGTATATAGGTTTTTGTGCAATTGAAATAATGAAAATTTTAAATTTTAGATCCAGCCTAAAAAATAAAAA